ATGCGAGACTATAACTGTTCTCTTTCCTCGTTTTCTTCTACACAGAAAGAAAACGTGACAAATGTGAAGCAAATGTCAATAGACATATATCTGAGATATATGTATATCTCTATCTGAATGCTAGAGGTCTAATATAAGGTTTATGATCATGTGTAGGATACTTGTATCATAACATTATTCATGAGAAATTACAATTGTCTTGGTCGCTGCAGACAGAAAACTGATTTTACAAAATTTTTCGTCCGTTTTCAGCGTATGTTGCCTATTGGCAACACGTATATTTTTTACTCATGAAAAGTGTTGAATAAGTCAGGCTACTGGTGCTATATATAATAGTTCTGCTAAACAAAATTAATCACTAGTTTTCCCAGCATTAAATGTTCAGACAAGGATGAAACACATTTTTATGATTCGTTTGCTGTTCTGGAGCAGACGAATGTTATTACTTATCGCGAAAATAATTTTCTTTTGCTCTAAATGCATGTGTTAAAATATATCAATATGATTATCAAATTACCAAATAATTATAAATTTTCACTACAAGTCAATCCACACAAAATATTGACTCAACGTTGAAAAATGACAATATTCCACTGAAAAGGATTAACTAAGCAGCATTAAAGAATAGAAAAAAAAAACACATACAAAGAGAATGAAAAAAAAGTCGCAGTGAAGGAATTTAGAAGAGCAGAATACTTACATTTCATAATCGAACGAAAAAAAAGATACAGAAAATAGTGTGGAACCTGGAAGAAAAGACTAAGAGAAAGGAGATAAAGAAAGAATAAGTATATATGTGGAGAAAACATATAGGCATTTAAAAAAAATACTTAAAACAGTGCAGTTCTGGTAGACTCTCATCGTCGTCACTATGAAAAAGAGAAAAGGGTCGTCCAAATAGTTTACGTATCGTATCATAGAATGCTTATTAGAAAATGTCTGCTCGGCATTACTTTGATTACATTATTTTTTATATTAGTTCATTATTTTTTACCCTTCAATTTTTCATTAAATCCATTGTATAACTGTGATAATTTCAATTTAACTGATTATTCCGTAAAGTGTTTAAAATGGACACCAGATCATCGTCACTTTTGGAAACAATCAACGATTCGTCACACAATACATGAAAAATACTTAAATTCATCTAGTTTAATTGTCGAAATTGGTGGGAATGTTGGACAGGACATTGCTCAATATATTCGTCTTTATAATTCTACTTTAATTATTTATGAACCTTTAACATCAATGTATAAAGTACTAAAAGAAAAACTCGGAAATCGGTCGAGAACAGAAATTCATCGATACGGATTAGGTACGAAGAATAAGTTCGACAAACGGCCATAGAGTGATCCCATTTTCCAGTCCAAAACTGATATTTAGCTCTTTAACCTCTCTCCTGCCAGAAACGCCATTTTGTTCAAAAACTTCGATGCTGATCTAACCACATAGGTAAATAGCGCAAATTGTCTTCTATCATAAGCCATGTTTAGTTCGGCTGAAACGAAGGCTTGTGATAGTTTTTGAAAACATTTACTCCTCCTCTCCCAAAAAAAACTAGTTTTGCAGAAACAAGCCTTTTTTCTCTAATTTCTTTCTCAAATAAGAGCTAGAGTCTTCCAGTTGATTTTAAACTGCAGCTAACACTTGTGACTAAAACCTAATCAAGTCGAGATTTTTCCCATTTCCGATGTACTCTAATATCCATTGAGGACTAATGCATCTGTTCCTTTTCGTCTCCAACACTTCCAAACTGAGATAGTTTTATACTTTAAACAGATGATTTATGAGTTTTAAAAACTACTACTGTACAAAACATCTTTTAACTATGTCACTCATACTTCTTCTATTGTGTGCATTTAAACTTTGAACAATATTCCATATATGTGAGATTTTTTAAAATATCGAAACTACAGTGTACTGAAATAAAGCTGAAGGTCGTTAAAAACAACCTACTAAGGATTAAAATATTTTTCAATCCGGGACTGAAGCGTTTCATCTAATGTAGGAAATCCATTTAAGATGTTTTGCTGTCAGACAGTGGCGAAAAAATTCTGCTAAAGTTGGATTTTCATGTATTGGGACGACTTTAGAACAGCTCAAGGAACAAGAAAGATAAAACTGGCAAAAAGTTGAATGGAAACGTATCCAAAAATCTCTGCTCTACGTGAATTTAATTCACCAAGTCTTACTTTCTATTTTTATCTCTGTCCATCAGTTCTGAACATTGTCGTTTCGATGAAACGTATTCAGTTCATTGGCATTAACAATTTCCTGAGACAGAATTAATAGCGAATGTTTCTTCTTAGCCAAAGCTCGAAAACCAATCCATAGTGTTTATGTTTTCCGCTCTTTAACTCGTTGATAATTTTAATATTTTAATGTACAAAGTAGAAGAAGAAATTAGTAGAATATATGAAGAACGATGGCATCGCTCACTCATTTTAAGAATAAGTGTGAAAAATATTTGAATTTATGGTAGTTTAATTAGATAATAAATCTTCATATAATATCGCTATTATTGCATTGCAGGTGTATCTAAACGACAACTAAAAATTAGAACATCCGGTACAAATAATGAGGCAACCAGCATGTTTACCAAAGAAAACGATTCTGGCAAAAGTGTTAATGAAACAATGACAACGATAGATATTCTTAATATTATTGATGTTTTACAAGAAATTTTGATTCGATATAAAAAAATTGATTTATTGACAATGAATTGTGAAGGATGTGAATTTGAAATTTTACCAGCATTAATTGAAGATACCACTTTGCTAACAAAAATCAATAATATTCAGTTTGCCACTCATATAGATACGCTTGAATATGGTATATGTATCTATTGTAAATTACAGCAAGACTTACAGAGAAAATATGAAATTTTTTATCAATATAAAGTTTTATGGGAAAGTTGGACGAAAAAGAAGAATGATTGAGAGAAAAGACTTTTTCCTCTTAGTGGAACTAGATAAAGCACTTATTGATTGCATTCAATATTAGCCACCTTCCATCTAATGAATTTCAAAATTTTCAATTAGAATTTAATTTTCTAAGCATCTTTTAACTGACGTTTCGTTTTAGAAATATGGGTATCAGTTTACTGTTCATTACCAAGTGATAAGTAATAAAACGTGTTAGTTATGATGTAGAAATAAATAATAATTGTGGTTACTTTATTACTTTTTCGACGTAATAATTTTTTATTTGTTTACTTATTACTAATAAGAAGAAAAGTAATAAAAAATAATACGTAAAATGAGGAAAAATTGTTACATAAAGGAGTAATAAGTAATAAAACAACAAAATTTAGTACCTTTTTCCCGATAATAAGTAACACAAACGTTTATTAATTTTACCGGATAATGTAATAATTAGTAAAAGTAAAATAACACCTCTACTCAGAAATTTGTAGTTCAATATTTTTTTTTGAATATAGAGTATGCTGAAATAATTTTAGAAGAATTCTTCATTTTCTAAAAGTCGTGTCCAAGCTTTCTAGAAAAAAGCAATTCCTATATATTCCCTGAAGATTTTCATTCTGAACATTTTGTCAATCTTCTCATAATCTTCTTTTTCTAAATAAATTTGAAAATATAGAGAACGCAAAACTTTCTGCATTCTTGTCGAATACATAAAAAACACACAACGTTTCTAATTCCAGTTGTACTACCAGTCACATACGCCCTATCATTTCTACTCATACATTACACATTTTCCTCTGTTCATCTTTTCTTTTCCGTTCTTTTTCTCTGCTAGCTTTCATTTTTTTCCCTTGTTTTTATAGAATACACATATGTAATCTCATCACAATAGTGAAAAATGATATTATGGGCTCCTGTCTCTTTCTTTTTTGTTTTATACTTTTTCCTCAGTCACACTAAACTGACATTCTGTCAGCAAACTTGGCACTATCGCTTTTCTCAAAAGCGCCTTTTATAATGAGAAATCGAAGTTTTCTCCCCGATGCTTCGATCGATTGAGCTACAATTTTTTGTAACAATTAGAACCAAATCAGAATGTGCATTTTTTTTCTTTGAAAAATATTGTTCTGGTGATTTTTCGCAGATTTTACAAAATTTGCCCTAAGGAAAAAACACGTTTTTTGGCAGGGCTTCCAGTATTTGGGTTCTCCTAAGCGAAAGCAACAATATTTTTCAAAGAAAAAGAAATACATACCCAGATTTGGTTCTAGTTGTTACAAAAAAAAATTCAGCCATGAAAAATAAATGCTGGATGTTTGCGGGGGAAAACTTCAGGTCATTTTTGGTACTTGCGTCCCCTATTTTGGAAACATATAAAACTCAAGTGTTCTACACGTCATGAAAAGTTCATCGCATTTGGTATTTCGGTTAAAGTTCTACAGTCAAAATATAAGTGCAATTTCAGAACATTTTTTCATATTTTTAAAGTGAAAAATAGCGATAGCGCGTACATCTTCGATCTTCAGGCATCTTAAAAAAACAGAAAACGCTATAGGGATCTGTTGATGCAATTCTTATCATTAATTCTTTATCATTTTTCTCGGCTGAGATGTATTAAAAACAAAAATGTTGCAAATATTTTGAGACATCCGACTTATATGAACGTTTTTGTATGAGAATGCCAAGGACTTTTGATTGTTTCTTCTATTTGAGCTAATAATTGTTTAACTTAAAATGCACGGAAAGCAAACTTGCACAAATTTATTTGGATTTTATGTTACATATTCGGTATCATGCTTAGCAAGTAAGAATAATAATCTTCATAAGAGTTTCCTCATGACTAAGTGATTCAAAGACTTCATCTACGACGAAACCACTCCAACTGTCCGACCGCTTTTTTCACGAAACCTAGTTGACATTAGGTAATCGAGTGTGCTGAATCCGAATATCATAATAGTTTGAGAGTCTAGGCCTCTAGAGATCGGCTTCCTGGAAAAGCAGTTTTTCAGAAACACTAAAAAGTAACAAAACCTTTCTTAATGGACTAATTGTAGCCCGCATATTTCTGATTAAAATGAGACGTCTCCCGGCTCTACATGATCTTTCTTTTCAAAGTTATAGAATTTACATGAAAAGTCCTAAATTAATTTCTTATTCCGGTAGCCTTGAGCTGACAATGAACATTCGGGGCTGTCTTGTAAATTCTATAATTTTGGAAAGAAAGATTGTGCAGAGCTGGAAGATGTCTGATTTTAATCAGAAATGTGCGGGCTACAATTATGTCTCATTAAGAAAGGTTTTGATTATCTTTTAAAGTTTCGGGAAGACTGCTTTTCGAGAAAACCGGTCTCTGGAGGCCTAGACTCTCAAATCACTATGATATTTGGATTCAGCACACTCGATTACCTATTGTCCACTAGGTTTCGTGAAAAAAGCGATCGGACAGTTGGAGTGGTTTCCTCGTTAGTTGTGTTTCATTAAGCATCTCCTGTTTTATACAGGGTCTTGTGGCTGAGAACAGAATGCCGACGACTCGATAATATGATGTTGTTGTATCGTCTCATAGAAAGTTGCCTATAGATCATTAAGTACGACGGCATTTTTAGAGGAACTTTGGTTTTAATCAGAGCATACAAAAGTAATGCTCTTCTTCGTCGCGCAAAATGTGTCTAACATTATGCTTTTTTAAAACGTTTTAAAAGTTCTTTTCTATACGTAGTTGATGGTAATACAAATATGAAAAATGTTGCGAGAGATGGTAAGTAAGATATGAAATATCCAAATAAGAATAAATATGGCTGACGTGGTGATTTCATACAAACATAAACAAATGAAATAATTAAACGTGGTAGTGTTAATGAGACTAGAACGCATGGACTAATAATTAAATGTTTATGTATAAGTAATTGTGCTTTTAATAATTGTCCATAGAACATTTGCAAGTTATTAGGCTGTACGTTTGATTTAGTTCTTGTTAGTTTAATTACAATAATAATTGCTGATATAAAATTGATAATAAATGGTGCAAGAAAGTGAAAGATGCTTACTGCGGAGGTATAATATTTAAGCCATGGATGATTTTGATATGTAATAGAACACCATGTACGCTTTTCTGTTGGATCGTCGATTAAACGACGATAGATTGGATCAGATGTGAAACTTAACATGTTAAACATGACTACGTCGCTGCGATATATTTTGCTACATTTACACTTGTTTTTCTATATTTTCTGAATGCAGTGCCAAGAACGACAATAAGAGTTCGTTCAATTGCAACCATTGCAAATAACCATTCACCATTGACAGGTAAAAACTTTAAAAGAAATTCTATTATGACACAGCTTAGATTCATTAGTAAACGATTTGGATTTGACATCATTTGTGATAGAAAAAGATAAATAAATTTTGTAGCAAAAATGGTGATAGTGAACAAACCATTGATTGATGCTAACAATAAGTAAATACTAGACCCACAATCACAAATTTTAAACGATAGTAGTGACAGTGAGTTACTGATAATACCAAATATGAACATTATCGAAAAAATAGTTAAACTTAGTTTTATTACCGGTGCTTGCTCCTGTATGCTGACATCACGTTGAATATGTAAGCCAATAATTCCATCTAATGTTAAATCATAGCCTGTAGTTGAAAATTGACATAGACCACCGTAATAACATTCGGAACAGATACATAATGAATTTGTTGGACAAAAATCTTCATTTTGTATACATCGACCATTATTTTCACAATAATTATCACTATTTTCACATCCATATACATTATGGTTGAATGTAAAACAATCAGCTTGTCGATCATTTGTACATAAACACATGAATGTTTCATCATAAAAACATAATTTTGTTAAATTTTGTATACAGATCTGATGATAAAATTTAACTCGATTTATTCTGTCTAACAACATAATTTTAGAATTTAATAATCGCTCGACATGAAAACATTGATTAGACGATATAATTGTGGTAGAAAGTAACGTATGTATTTGAATGGCTTTTGTAAGCAATGCAGCTAGATAATATTCATTGCCAAGTTGAGTATAGATAAGTTTTGGGAAATTGTCTGGCGAATAATATACAGAAAATGTTCGCTGATAAAGTGATGATATTCGTTGAAAATATGTTTTACGAGTAGGATCTTTAACATGATGTGTATGAATAGAATGTATTAATATAACAGATGGTATATTTGTAATTTCTCCAAATGATATATCAACTTTTATATTTGCAATATGACAACTTTTACCACTATAACCTACTGGACATGAACAAATAGTTGATTCAGCTAAGTTAAATCGAGAATCATAAGCTAAACAAGTGCCATTATGTGCACAAATATTTTCCTTCTTTTTACATACTGAATACGGAATATAACATAATGAGCCCATTTTATTTTCCGGACAAATACATATTTCGTTATTAATACATAATGATTCAATCGAACATTTACATTTATATTTTATATCACAATATTTACCGGTCCAACCTGGATCACACAAACAGAATATTGATTGATTATTATTGACATATTGTTTACATTGGCCATGTTTATTACATTGTGTGCATAAAAGACTAATAGAAGGTTTAACCGGGATGTATACTTTTATTGTCAATCGATTTACAGGTAAAAAATTAAATTTGATATCGTAGTACCATGATGCTCGGTATTCAATTTGATTTCGATACAAATCATACGCATGGATTCGTACATAATAATTTCTGTTAATTACTTTTGATAATAGATAAAAAACATACTTTTGCATACAATTTCGTATCGGTATAAATGTTAATTGTTCATACGATACAATGACATCTGTTTCATTGTCAATTAATGTTACAAGTATTTTGTATATATTATTGCCACCAAGATCTGTTGCTATTATATTTGAACGAAATTGTATTATTATACTCAGACGTTCACTTTAATATTCACATTTTTCACCATAGTAGTTTGGTGAACATAAACATTTTAATTCGTTTTGATTTGTTCGAATTAAGAAACCATAATTACAGTAGAATGATCTTTTGACATCAATTCTAACATCTGTCACAGCAATCTGTTGCTTTTGTGCAGGCAAATAATTCTGTTGTTTATTTTGATAAGACGTAATAATTAACAACGACGAAGATGCATTAGCAGGATATACATCAAAATTATTGATTGATAAATATTTAAATTTAGGTTTTTCAATCAAATCACAAAATATTTCATCATTTCCACCATGAATTAAGTTAAATTCCCAACCACATTCATTCCACCCATTACAATGATACTGTCTTTTTGATTGATATCCATTGCTACAAGTAAAAAACGTACTGTCGCATTTATAAGATGTGAGCCAAGGACAAACATGTGTTTCATCATCACCAAGATCACAGTTTTTCTTACAATCACAGAGTTGCGTTGGGCTTATACATTTTGTACTATTCAAACATTTGTATCGTAAAGTACGTTCATTTGGATATGCTCTACGACAATAATCTCTTTCATCACTGGCACCTAGACAATCAATATGATTGTTATTAACTTCGGTAATCGATATGCAAGTCATATTATTTATTCTTGAATAATTTTTATAATCTATTTTAACACAGTATTGTGTTTGATCCGGACAATTATGACCTTTGGCATATTGTACTGAAAAAAATTCGGAAGTACCCTCTTCACCATAATTACAGTTTAGTTCATCAATGCCAGTTTTACAATTCCAATATGTATCACATATTGTGTATTCTGTTACACATGGCCATAAATCGCAATCTGTTTCATCTGTTTCATTTACATAAAACGGATCACGCATGCCGTTACAAATTTGTTGAAACACAATATTACTATTCTTCGTTATTGTTGATAGAGCATTGTCATAACGTAAATATTCACATTGCAAACTATTTGAATTATAGCATATTTCGTACGAATATTCGTCTGAACCTCCATCCAAACACTGTTGCACATTATCATTTAACATTATTCGTGGAATACACTGGTTGATATTTGAACATTTATAACGATGTTTCATATTTAAATCACATGTTTTTTCATAGCGTTCATCATAGTTATTTGGACAGTCTTCATATCCATCCATTAAACGATATTTTGATATACATTTGTATGTTCCTTTACAATGAATTAGTGACGGGTGAGAGCAATTTTGTGAGGCTGTGAGATTCAAACTGTTACGACCCACCTCTCTTAGTGTGTCGTAAGAACATCTCTTTCCTTCCTTTCTTTCTTGTTGCGTAATTACGCAACAGTCACAGTTCAATATTGCACAACCTCCGCACATAATTCAACGTTGCG